CTTAGAAAGGTTTGCCTTCTTCCAAGATTATCTTAGGTTTATTCTAAAAGGTTTATGAAATTATCTTTTATATTTTAAGTCTATTTTTGTGTATGGTGTGAACTAGGGAGTTGAAGATTTTTGTATTTTTTTTTACATGAGTATCCACTTATTCTAGCACCGTTTGTTGAAAAGACTTTCTTCCCCATTGAATTTCTTCAGTGTTGTTGTCAATAAACAAATGACTGTAGATGTGTAGGTATATTTCTGAGTTGTCATCTATTTTATTTTTCAAATACTATACTGTCTCAATACCTGTAACTTTATAGTAAATTTTGAGAACAGTTGGTACAAATTCTTCAACTTTGTTGTTCTTGTTCAAATTGCTTTACCTATTCTGTGTCCTTTGCATTTTTATATAACTTTTAGAATCTGCCTACTAGTTTTTTTATTATTATTATTATTATTATTATTACAGTTTTTGGCCAGGGCTGGGTTTGAACCTACCACCTCTGTCACATGGAGCTGGCACCTACTCCTTTGAGCCATAGGTGCCGCCCTGCCTACCAATTTTAAATGTATTGTGATTTATAGATCGTTGTCTGCAAGCTTACACATACTTCAAAAAATTGTCCTAGTGAATACCTTGTTATAATAATGTTAGTTAGGGTGGCACTGCTCCCTCTGCACACCCACATTCAGGGTGACACTGCTCCCTCTGCACACCCACATTTTATAATTGTATTTTCTAATTTTTGGCAGCTAACCATTGAAAGTGATAGATATGTTAATTAGCTTGGTTTAATCATTCCATAATGTCAAACATTCATTCATTACAGCATCACATTTTACCCCACAAATGTATATAATTATTACTTGTCAATTAAAAATAAAATTCATAAACTCAAAGAATTCTGAATACTCTTATCTGATCCTGACACATTCTCTGCATCCATCAGACTATCACATATACCCTATAAATACGTGCAAATGTTATGTATCAATACAAAATATTTTTTAAAGTACAAGTACAAATTTTTAAATGTTCTCTTATATTGACTTTTTGTGCTTTGACTTTACTAAAATTCAGTTATCAGTTATAGTAGTTGTTCTGTGAGTTCTTTAGGATTTTCCAAGTCATCTGCAAATAGAAATTGTCTTTTTTTCTTTTATTTCTTTCCACTGCTTTATTACAACGGCTAGGACCTCCAGTACAGTGGACTGTAAGTGGTAAAAATGGGCATGTTTTATTCTTTATCTTATGGAGAAATAGTCAGTATTTTACCATGAAATATTATTTTAGCTGTAGGTTTTTCATAGCTGTTCTTTATCAGATTAAGGAGATTCTTTTCTGTTACTAGTTTGCTGTCATGAATAGGTGTTGAAATTGTTATTTGAGTAGTTGTAGTTGAATTGCTTGTAGTTTGAATAGATGAATAGTTATTAGTTTGTATTATGAATGAGTGTTGCAATTTGTTGAGTGCTTTTTCTTTGTCTATTGAAGTAATCTTAGGGTTTTCCTCCTATACACTCTGAGTGTTATGAGTTACATTCATTTAAAAATATTAAACCAACCTTGCATTCTTGGGATAAACCCTAGTTGGTTTTTATTCTTTTAACATATTGCTACATGTGTTACATTGAGAAGGGCCATGAAAGTGTTTTGCATGAATGAGTGTCAGGAACAAAAAAGAAATCACATGTTGACCTGTGAGCTACCAATGGATTGATAGTTTTTGCTCTTCTGAATATTCCAGATCATCCATTCGGGAGTTTGTTATAGCCTTTGAAATAATAGTAAAGAGATGGCGTTCTGGCAAGGGTTTTCTGTCTATCAAAACAGAGTGAGCAGAAAGTGAGGCCAACTCATACCCATGGCTACATGGAAAACTTTGAGCAATTGCTTTAGATGGAAGATGGTTCACCCTGTACCCACAATCAGATTTCATGGTATAGTAGTGTATATTTTTCTGTGTTTTCCTTAAAAATGTTGTATTTATTTTTCATAACAATACAAACATTAATAGCTTACATAGTTTTAACAAATTTTATTTTACTTTTATTTATTTTATATATATATATATTTTGTTAAGCTAACATTGTTATAACACAGAAGGTGTTATAGTCTATACTAGACTAATTTTTTAAAGCTTGTGGGTAAGCTTATGGACTACTTTCAGAGAAAAAGAAATTTCCTAGATGTCATGTGTTGACTTTTATTATTTTTATTATAATCTTATTTGAAATTATACATAAGACTATAAGCATTCATTTTTTGCTTTTACACAACTATAAAAGCAACACAGAAATTAAGTATAAACAAAGCTCTGTAAATAATGAAATGGAGGCTAATAACATTAATTTACTGTAAGGGATAATATTGTTTTGCTGAAACTAAATTGGTGCTTAAAATCTGAATGTGAGTTGTAGTGTGGAGTCTTTTGAGTTTGGCAGGCCTGTGTAACTAGGTGCCACATGATGATTTAAATTTTCAGCCATTTTTCTCCATTTGAACTTACATGATCTATTTGTTCATATATCACTGGCCACATGATGTATTAATCCACTTCTGTGCATCTTTTATTTTCCTTTGTTAGAGGTAATAAAGGACCCTTTGACACCAATGCAAATGTAAATATAGATAGTGAAATTTTGTACCAGTACCCATTCTTAAGAGCCAAATCCAAATGATTTGGAATATGGTCGCATTCCTCTATTTTAGATAATCATCAAAACATGCATAATTAGGGATCTAGAGAGCTAGAGGCCTTCAAGAATATAAATCACTGCTTTTAGACCTAGTAGTACAATATTAGAAATCTCAGTAGAGGAGGAGGCTAGAAGTGTCACCAAGGCCCGGAGCCCTTGGTGGCCATGTCAGGGCATGTAGTGAATATTTCACTCTGAGTTGCGAGGAGCCTGCTGTGATAACAGAAGAGCCAAAGAGAAGTGGGTTCAGGAAGCCCATGATGGAGAAACAGTACCAGGTGTGCTTACTAAAACAGCAGGGATGAGTGTGCAGCTGCTAACTTCTTGCATTGCTCACCCAAGAAGGGCTGAATGTCTTGTTCATTGCCTTCTGCAATAAATGTGTTGGGCTCTGATGCCACAGGCAGAAACATGAACCTAGGGAACAATAAAACATGGTTTGTGTGCCAGATTATAACGTTGTGATTTCATATGTTTGCATGTTGAGTTTTCTTACAGGAAGGCACATTTTCAGTAGAACAGGGAGAGTTTTTCTTTTCCTGTAATGTCGGACTTGTTTTGAGTGCCCTTTATTCATTTTTTTAAAGAATTCTTAAATTGTAGTAAGAGCAATTAATTTAAATTGCAGCATTTCACGTGTGATCTTCCCTCTTAACAAACCTTGAAATGTGCAATCCTGACAAGGATGGGCAGAGTGTTGTAGAGCAGACCTTACTCATCTTGCCTTCCTGCAACTTCATTCCCTTTAAGTAGCAACTTCTCATTTTCATCTCCCCTAACCCCTGACAACCATCATTCTACTCTCTGCTTCTGTGCGTTTGACTATTTTAGATTCCTCTGCTTTGTGGGATCACGCAGAGTTTGTCCTTCTGCGACTGGCTTGTTTCGCTTCGTGTGATGTCCTCAAGGTTCTTCCATGTTGTCAGGGATTACAGGATTTTCTTTGGAATGATACTCCCAGCACCCTTTAGATGCACAGGAAATGTAGCGTCCTATCTTTCATTCCCACCCCACCCAGCCATACTTCTGTCTGGTCATTCCTCCGGCCTCCTGTCATTTCCTACACACCCTCTGGCTCCCACCTCCCGGGGGTGCACAAACAGAATGAAAGGGAGACGCAGAAGCTGTGGAGCAGCTGAGGCCTGAGGATGAACTTGCTGGGGCATCTGTCTAATTCCCAAGGCTGTGTGGTGCTCGTCTGCCACCTCCCTGCCTTGTCCACAAGGTCATTGCTGGATCTCATTATCAACATTCCACAGGCCACCTTATAAATTGGTTCTGGGAGGTTTTCCCAGCACTTTCCTCTCCCTGCAGAAACACCTGTGTAATGGGGACTAGGCTTAACCTAGTTCATTCATTACTTAACCTTGGGTGTTGGACTTGGCTGGCCCTGGCCTGCCTGTCCAGTGCCCAGTGGACTCCACCTCCACCGTGCTCTTGCTCTGGACAGCACAGGGGCTACCATTGAGGGTGAGGTTAGTGCTGGTTTCTCTGACATCAAGAGTACAGAGGCCTTGGGCAGAAGGCAGCATATGCCTTTGTTAGATTCCTGAAGCTCATGCTTTAGAAACTCACGGAAATTTTATCCAAAATACTATGTGAATTTTTCTAATCTGAAACCTCAATACTTGTAGAGCCCACATGTTACACACGGTAAGTTAAGTGGTAATTGAGGTTTGCAGATCTCTATGTGATTTATTCTGGTTCTCTCTCAGTGGCCTGTGAGCTAAAACTTAAATACAGCTTCATGGTAGTCGCCTCTTCCTGTTTGGAGAGGCTGGCATAATATTTTGTCTTCTGGGCTCAAATAACCATGTAATTACTCTGTAATATAGTAATTAGCATGTACTATATGCATTTATTACATAATTATATTCCTGCAGGATTGTATGGCAATTATACTTGCATTCAGCATATCATTTTATATACTGTATCATGAACAAGCGTATAATTTGTTGCTTTTTTTCTTTTATCCTAATTTCAGTTTACCAACCAGGGGCTGGAAACTTCCTCTCCTGTTGTGTTGTTTGCCTGCAGTCGGCAGGTGGCTGCACTCCTTCAGCCTCACGCAGTACCTCCTAATTAGACATCTGAGGGGATGCTGGGGGGCCCGCACGCTGTGGTGGACTCCCAGCATTGGCACTCCTAATGCTTTCTCCTTGTCATGAAGTCATTAAGTTATTAGCTTCAAAACTCATTAAGTTCTGGAGCTCCCACATTGCCAGGTCAATGGCAAGATCTCAATTATAACAGAGTGGCTGTGAGCAGGCCCGGAGCACTGTGACCGTGCCTGTCCTTCTCTCCTTTTGCAGTGGAGCACATTCCCAAGGGGAACAACTGCCTGGATGCGGCCAAGGCCTGCAACCTCGACGACACCTGCAAGAAGTACAGGTCGGCGTACATCACCCCGTGCACCGCCAGCACATCTAACGATGTCTGCAATCGTCGCAAGTGCCACAAGGCCCTTCGGCAGTTCTTCGACAAGGTCCCGGCCAAGCACAGCTATGGAATGCTCTTCTGCTCCTGTCGGGATATTGCCTGCACGGAGCGGAGGCGGCAGACCATCGTCCCCGTGTGCTCCTATGAGGAGAAGGAGAAGCCCAACTGTTTGAATTTGCAGGACTCCTGCAAGACGAATTACATCTGCAGGTAAGTGCCACAGCCTGGTGATTAATGAGGTGGTGGGGAGAGCCTCGGTGGCTGCTGCCGCTGCCAAGCTCCGGATTTCTGTGTTTCTGCCAGGGGAGAGGAGGGAGGGGAAGCTAGATCATTTGGATGGACTGGGAAAAATCTGACCTCTGCATCTGACACAGGGCTCTTCAGAACTGCTTAGGCTGTTACCCTGGGGAAGGGTCTTGTCTTTAAAACTGGGGTAAGGCTTTGAGGGTGTTGGAATGAGGTGAAACACTACTGCCTTCCCCGGGTACCTCTCAAGTGAGAGGGTCACCTAGGGTGAGGTGACCTGAGGCAGGTATCCACCCTCCACTCCAGAGGAGCTGCCAGAAGTTGCCAGGGGGTTAAGAGGCTTAAGTTGGCTGGAGATAAGGAGGCTCTTGACCTTCAGGGGCCAAAAACTGGAAAATATCGGTGCAAGGGATCAGCAGTGTCCAACCCCGGTGAGTTGAACTTTGAGAATGCCTGGGTCTGTTCTGGGCCATTCCGTGGCAATGAAGAAGGGGGCGTCTTCCCACTCAGCTCTTTTCCCAGATCTCAGCCCCCATCACAGACCCTGGCGAGCCTGGACTACATTGTTGAAAACATTCACTTTCTGGTTTTGGCCATTGGTGAATTTATTTTAATTTTCAAATGATGCCATGAACACATCGTCTATGTTCGGAAAAAAAAAAAAAAGCAATAAAGAATTAAGAGCAGAAGTCGCCCTTTACTCTGCTCCCACTCGCCCACATGCCTCAAGCCGCCACTGTTAACAGTTTGATATGTGTCCTTCTAGAACTTAGGGCTGATTCAGTTCTTGATTGAAACAAGTAGATTTGATTGAGCAGAGTCTTGAGGCTTTGCAGGAAGCTACACTGGGGCCTCCTTTAGCAGAGTAAGCTGGATGCTGTCCTGGGAACTTGGACAGGGCATTCTATTGGACAGCACCTGTACTTTGTCACCAGGGGCAGCTGGGAGCCAAAGTCAGTCAGTCAGTGCCATCTTTAGCAAAATCCTGTACAGGTGGACAAGCAGCTGAGAGGGTGACGACCATTGCTTGTTTTTTTGTTTGTTTTTGTCTTTGTTTTTATGGGTTTCCCATTTTTAAGGTGTTGAGAGCACGAAAAAGTGTCCACAGTGTTGAAAATTCTGGTTAGCTGAGTTTCTGATCAACTTGCATTTTATTCTACTACATTGGGGTCCCATTCTTTCCTTAAACCAGCTCTAATAGCGACCAGACAGAGATTTAAGTCCTCATTATCTGTATAATGCTCCCGTGTAGAGGATTTTCTGATTTTCTGGGAGTAATGTCCCTCCACTGTCTTTCTCAAGTGTGGAAGCAGGTGACCTGCTATGTGAGGAAGGACCTGGACGACCAAGCGTCACCTGAACAGAGTTTGCACTTGGGGAAATGGCACGCATCCCAACAGTGCAACTCCGAGGACTCTTCCTCACTGTCAAAACCCTGCTGCATTGCGACCCTCTTAGCTGTGGGTGAGGAGCAGACTGGGGTGTGTTGGCAGGGTCCTGAGGGAGAGCAGACCCTCAAGTAGTAACCAGGGAAGCCAGTCAGTCGTGGAATTAAAGCAGCCCCTGTGAGGATGGGGAGATGAGTGTGGCTGAGGAGCAGGACAGGGAGAAGGCTCTTAGGAGCTCTTCTCAGGGTGCGGGGATGGGAGAGAACGGATTCTGAAGACCCCTGGATCTGAAACCCACATGCCTGGACCCTGTTAGCGGTGGAGCAGAAAGGATCCCCCTTCTGGGAGCAGGACTGGGTTTGTAGGGTCTTACTTGGCTTAAAGCCAGATGGCTCCTCCCTAGCTCTCCAGGAAGATGCTACTGTGTCCACCCCTGGCTGTTGGTCCTGCCTCCACGTGGGGAGCTACACAGAGCAGAGAAGAAGCCCTCCGTCCATGGGACAGTGGCTGACCGTGGGAGGGCCGACAGTGATAGAACCTTTTGCTTCTCTCCTCCCAGGTTTATCGCCCATGTGAGGGCCAGAGAGGGTCTGGCACCCCTCTTACACAGATGCAAAGCCCATGCTGAGCAGATAACTTGCATTTCCTGACCTGCTTTTCTAAAAAGAGAGAATCCTTGGAGGGCTGGTGTGAATTCCTTAGATCAGGTGGCTTTCCCACTAAGCTGTAGCGAGACTAGCTGAGAGTCTAGAAGTTGGAGGGCTCTTGGGGAGGGGCAGAGGGAACCAGATGGTTTGGGTACTCTCTGGGGCCTCAGACTGAGTCCTCCCTGGGAGAAAGTATAGGTTCCAGGAACTCTGAGATACACCAGATGGCAGGGAGTGGCCTCCAATGATGGGGCAGAAAGGTACCAAGGGCAGCAGACAGCTTTTGCCTAGTCACTGACTGTGCCCAACCATAGCAAGGTCAGGTGGGGGTGGATGGCAACCACCGTGCCACAGGGTGGGGGCTCCCTGGGCGGGAACACGGGACTGGGGCAGCTTTGCGCTGCTGTCACATTTCTGGCTCTGGGGAGAATCCAGAGGCTGTTTGGGAATCCAGATCTAGCCTATCCTGGGACCCTACCAGTGAAATTTGTCTCAGTGGGACTGATGGGTTTTGTACCTTATCTTGAGCCTTTCTTGGGAAGGTGACTCAGTGTCTTCTCCCAATGTTACCCATGTGAAGTTATTTAGCCCATGTCTTTCCAGAGCCTGGACTTACCCTTCATGAGTACCTCTCCCCAGCAGATGTGGTAAAGTAATTTCAGCTGCTAGGTTGGCTAGTGGGGGGTGTGTGTGTGTGTGTTTTACCAGATGTTATTCATCTTGTCTTTAATTTTATGCCTTTCCCCCATCCCTCTCACTCTGTCTCAGTGAGGCTGGTGGTGGTACTGCCCAGCGTAGCAGCTGGTACCATCTGGACCTGGGGTTTCTTTGGGACTCACGTCACAGTTGCTCTAACCCTCCCCCGTCACTGGTGTGATGACTTACGCCTCATTTGAATAGCCACCAAGGGAGGGGATGGCAGCGGGGAAAACTGATTCCTGAAAACCGGGTTCTTCAAAAGCTCACACCTTCAAACGCTCCATTTCCATCTTAGCATCAGCAGTTATCAAAGTGCTGCTCAAGCTCATTAAAACTTCCCTGAACTTAATATTTTCCAACTCAGGGCTCACGGGTTTCCTCCCCAGGGGCCAGCGGTGCCTGTGCACAGAGCCTGCCTCTCTTCCGCCTGCACCTGCGGTCGAGGAGCAGCACCGGCTTTTCCTTTTGACTTTGTTTTCCTTTTCCCTTTTCCCTTACAGGGAAGCTGACAGGTTCCCTCCCTCTTGGGGTGGTTGCTGAGAGTCAGAGCTTGACTGTTTGGGCCTCCAAGCTTGTCTACAGAAAAGCATACACAGAGGTATTATTAGAAGGCTGTGATGAAATTTAAAAGCCTCACGTTTCTCCCCTGAAGCAGTATCTCCCCTGCCAGTTTTCCCCTGGTTGCTTTTCTTAGGGCCTGGAAGGATGTCAGGCCTGGGTTTGGCTCAACGGAATCATATCCTTTTATTCCTGATGCAAATTGGTGTATATAGGCTCAATTGAAACTTACATACCTCCTTTCTGTCAAACTGTGACATCCAGTATAAGCACAGCACTTGAGCGTAGGCTCAAGGTGCCACAAATGTGTTCCAAATCTCTTTTGTTTCTGTAAATTCTCTCTCAGCTGCCTCTCTCCACTTCTGTTCTTCAATACTGGGAGATCTAGCACTTTCCCCCACCCTAGCACACCCCTCCAGCTTTCACCTGAGGACCACGGAGCCCTGCAGAGAAGCCTGCTGGCCTCATGGCTTTAGCTGCTCCCATGTAGTGTTGCTGTTGAGAACAGTCTGAGCACTCATGCTGGTTCGGTGGCCTTGTCCTCCTCAGCCATTCTACGTGTGCAGGAAAGGGCTGCATCCGTGGCCCCAGAGTAACAACTCTTGGTTCCGGCTTACATCACAGCCATTGTATCCCACAGCCTGGCATTTCATCCTAGGGGGCTGCATTCTAAGGGTGCAGACACCCAGCCCGCCCTCCACCTTGTGCAGCCCCAGCTCCCCCTTTCCCAGCAGGGTGTTCCCGAGTGGAATGGAATGTGGCATCTGCATTCTTTCTGGCCTCCAGGGCTGGGTCAAGGATTTCTTGCTCTTTGTAGAAAGATTCTAATAATTCTGAACCTTAAGTGGGACGGGGAAGGGCGTGAGTGATAAATACTTCCCAGTCAGGTTCAGTATACTCTGGTGATAGGCACAGCAAAAGCCCTGACTGCCCTATTACATGTATATAATTCATCCACGTGAAAGAAACAGTTGTACCTCCCTCCTGTTCTGAAACAGGACCTTCTGGAGTGTGCATACTTGCTTCTCCCCGTGTCCAGCTCTTTGTCCCCATAGTCTTCAAGAGTGCTGGCTCTGGTCAAGTCACCAAGTACATGTTTCCACCACTGCCCAAGGACTGAGGTCATTTGTAGCAGAACCCCGAAGGTCTCCCTTGGTGCAGCTCCAGAAGAACAGCATGTGCAATTTCCAAAATCCTGCCCTAATCAGCACCACATTGGCTGCACTGGGGTGACCCTGTTATACCTGGAGGAAATGTATTGTTGTGAACTTGTTGGTTGTGGCAGTTGGGGGAGCATGTTACAAAAGCGGGCAGCAAATCTCTGCTCCAGTAACCTATTTGGTCTGACAGTGTTAGTGCACCTTTAACAGGTGAGAAATGTGTTTCATTTGCCTGGAATGGGACCCCTTTTTGCACAATAAACTATGGACCTTAGAAATCAAGGCCATCCTCTACTGCTTGGACTGGACTTCCCCAGTGGACAAACGACCCTATATCACTATATCCAGACTTGCCTTGACATGCAGCAAGCGCAGGAGAAAATGGCTCAGTGGATGATAATTAATGCCTAAAACTAGATGGGGAGATTAATTTGGCACTTAATTTTATTTTACGCTGATTCATTCACAAATGGAAATCAGCAATTAGACAATGCAAACTTTTGAACCATGGA